TAGTCTCGAACTCCCGGCCTCAAGAGATTCTCCCGCTGAGCGTGGTGTCTCATGCCTGTAATCCCAGCACTTTGGGAGGCCGAGCAGGGTAGATACCTGAGGTCAGGAGTTTGAGACCAGCCTCACCAATATGGTGAAACCCCGTTTCTACTAAAATCACAAAACTTAATCGGGCGTGGTGGCACGCACACCTGTAATTCCAGCTACTCAGGAGGCTGAGGCAGGAAAATCTCTTGATCCCAGGAGGCAGAGGTTGCAGTAAACCAAGACTGCGCCACTGCACTCCAGCCTGGGCGACAGGGCCAGACTCCATCTCAAAAAAAAAAAAGATTCTTCCACCCAGGCCTCCCAAAATGTTGGGATTACTGATGAGCCACCGCTGAGCCAAGTCATAGCACTCTGATGGCTGCTTTGACTCTGCTGTGCACACGGTAACTGCGCCCACCTTGCCTTTGATTATTAACTTGGTCCCTGCTACCTTGAGATCCAATTATCCCAATTAGAGTCAGGCTTTCTGATTCTTGCTCCATCACTCAGGCCGGAGCAGCTCACTGCAACCTCACCTCCCACGTTCAAGCAATTCTCCTGCCTCAGCCTCCTGAGTAGCCAGGAATTACAGGTACTTGCCACCACGCCTGGCTAATTTTTTGTCTTTTTAGGAGGGACGGGGTTTAATCTTTTTGGCCAGGTTGGTCTCGAACTCCTGACCTCAGGTGATCCGCCTGCCTCAGCCTCCTAAAGTGCAGGCATTACAGGCATGAGCCACCGTCCCGACCTAATTTTTGTATTTTTAAAAGAGCCAGGGTTTCACCACATTGGCCAGGCTGGTCTTGAACTCCTGACCTCACGTGGTCCACCCAGCTCAGCCTCCCAAAGTCCCACTGTAAGTTCTGACCTAGGAGAGCGACTGTGACACATCGATGCATGGACACATACCGTTGATGGAGACCAGCTTATCACACAATTCCAGCCTGACACAAGAGGGGATACAGTAAGCAACTGCCTCCCCCTCACCGGACCTCAGAGCCGACGCAAGTGCAGCCTCGTCGTCACAGACGCGAACCTACACAGACACACACCACCTCTACCACGGCACGTGTGACGGACGCCGCCACTCAGCGACACTCACACACCGAATTCAGCTTCAGCAACAGGACACGCGGGCGGTGGCTCCAGCCACACCGCCCTCCCTCCACCACTGCCCGCGACCACCACGTTCCAAGTCCGCAGGCCCAGAGGACACACAAGGGTGGGACACGCACCAACCGCAGCCCCCACACCCCGCCCGCCTGTTCCCTGGGTCCTCACTCCCACGACTCACGTTGTCCCTGGACCAGGGGCCCTTCCTGCTCAGCTATGCCCACCTACCTTACAGGCAGGTCCAGCAGCGGGTTCCTCCTCCCAGGATGTGGGGGAGGTATTTATAGTTACAATTAACCTCCCACACAATTTCCCTTCTCTCCAGGCGCATCCAATTGGTTTAATTGGAGAGGCAATTCCAGGTTCTGGGGAAAGGGGGAGGAGGGGAAGAGGGGAGCTGTTCCCTCCCCGACTTCTCAGTGTCCCCGATGCTGGGACCCCTCCCCTCACCAGGCAGGAAACACATGAAGCAACTCTCTCCCCTCTCAGTCGACCTTAAAGCCTTGGCCTGCCCCCGCCCCCCTCTCCCACATCTTCCTTCAGGGGAAGGTGATCGTTTGAAGCCGTCTACCCATCATTCATCCCACTTGAGTCCCGGGGAGTTTTGGGAGTGATCAACTCTCCTCATAGTCAGAAAAACAGTATCAGGCTGGGTGCGGTGGCTAACCCCTGTAATCCCGGCATCTTGGGAGGCTGAAGGAGGCAGATGGCTTGAACCCAGGAGTTCAAGACCAGCCTGGGAAACATGGTGAAAAGCCATCTCTACCAACAAATATAAATAATTAGCCAGGCATGGTGGTGTGTGCCTGTAGTCTTGGCTGCTGGGGAGGCTGAGGAAGGACAATTGCTGGAGTGCTGGAGCTGGAGGCTGTAGTGAGCCGTGATTGCAGAGTGAGACCCTATCTCAAAAACAAACAAAAGCAATTTAAAACATTAAAAATCAGGCCAGGTGCGGTGGCTCACCCCTGTAATCTCAGCACTTTGGGAGGTCTAGGTGGGCAGATCACTTGGGGTCAGGAGTTCAAGACCAGCCTGGCCAACATGGTACAACCCTGTCTCTACTTAAAAAAAAAGTACAAAAATTAGCCAGGTGTAAGTATAATGCGCACCTGTAGTCCCAGTTACTTGGGAGGCTGAGGTACCGGAATTGTTTGAACCTGGGAGGCGGAGGTTGTGGTAAGCTGAAATTGGGCCCCTGCGCTCCAGCCTGGGTGATAGTATAAGACTGTCTCAAAAAATAATAATAATAATTAATTAAAAATCAGAATCTCAGAGAATTCTATTTTAAGGAAAGAGGGCTGGGCGCAGTGGCTCACGCCTGTAATCCCAGCACTTTGGAAGGCTGAGGCGGGCAGATCACCTGAGGTCAGGAGTTCAAGACCAGCCTGGCCAAGATGGTGAAACCCCCATCTTTACTAAAAATACAAAGAAATTCGCTGGGCTCTGTGGCAGGCCCCTGTAATCCCAGATACTCAGGAGACTGAGGCAGGAGAATTGCTTGACACCAGGAGGTGCAGGTTGCAGTGAGCCAAGATCGTGCCACTGCACTCCATCCTGGGTGAGAGAGTGAGACTCCATCTCAAAAAAAAAGAGGCTGGAAGTGCAATGGTTAGGGCCTGGGCCCTGAAGCCAGGCTGTCTGGATTCAAATGGAGTCCGGCCCTACAATCTCCAGCTGTGTAGATTGGGGCTGGAGACCTTGGACGAGCCACTTCACCTCTCTGGTCCTGCTTCCTCATCTGGGAAATGGGGACTGTGACTGCACGCACCTCCTGGGGCTGCATAGGGTTTAACAGATTCTCAGGTACACCATCCTAGAACAGAGCCGGGACCCAGCCCTCACTGGAGGGCCCCATAAGGTCATAAAAGGGGCAGCCCATGCTCTCATGCTGTGCCTGTTCTGCTTTTTGTGACACTTGTCCCCTTTTTTTTTTTGAGACAGAGTCATGTTCTTGTCGCCCAGGTTGGAGTGCAGTGGTGCAATCTCAGCTCACTGCAAACTCCACCTCAGTTTCAAGCAATTCTCCTGCCTCAGCCTCCCAAGAAGCTTGGATTACAGGTGTGAGTCACCACACCTGGCTAATTTTTGTATTTTTAGTAGAGGTGGGGTCTCACCATGTTGCCCAAACTGATCTCAAACTCCTGACCTCAAGTGATCTGCCCGCCTCGGCCTCCCAAAATGCTGGGATTACAGGCGTGAGCCACCGCGCCTGGCCTCCCCTGAGATTTTGTTCATTCACTCATCCCCTCAGCAGATATTTTCTTTTTTGAGATGGAGTTTCACTCTGTTGCCCAAACTGGAGTGCAGTGGCTTCATCTCAGCTCACTGCAGCCTCCATCACCTCCTGGGTTCAAGCAATTGTCCTGCCTCAGCCTCCTGAGTAGCTGGGATTACAGGTGTGAGCCACCACGCCCATGTAATTTTTTTGTATTTTTAGTAGAGACAGGATTTCACTATGTTGGCCAGGCTGGTCTCGAACTCCTGACCTCAAGTGATCTGCCCATCTCAGCCTCCTGAAGTGCTGGGATTACGGGCATGAGCCACCACGCCCGGCCGCATGTGACGTATCTTCTGTGCATCCTTTATGTGTGTGTATGTTTCCGAGTGTACATGTGCCTATTTGCATGTGGGTCTGTTTATAGCAATGTGTGTGTCTCTGTGCAAATCTCTCCACCTGGGCCCACCCCAAGGGACTCAGGGGGTCCAGGAACACATTTTTCACGGCACTCCTCAAAAACCCACACACGTGCCCCCGGGCCTTGAACACAGAGCAGTGGTGAACATGGCTGGGGGTGCCAAAGAGACTCAGAGGTCCAAGGATGGATCTGAGGAGAGGGTGGTGAAGGGGGTGCGTGGATGGCGGAGGGGCTGAGGGACACTACGGAGAGGGGCCTAGAGGGCAGTGAGACAAGACGAAGCAGCCGGAGTCCAAGGGAGAGAGCTCACCTGGACTCTGAAGGAGAAGGGACAGGGAGGCCCTGAAGATGTGGGTTTCCAGTGGGGGAGGGGACAGAGAAAGACAAAGAGTGAACAAGACAGAGACAGAGAGAACGAGAGGGAGAGAGACAGAAACAGGCAGGGGGGTGGTCCACGCTCGCCTTGGTGGTCTCTCTCTCTGGAGTGTGGAGGGGTCAGAGGTCTGGAAAGCTGGGAACCCCAAGAGACTGACATTGATTTCTGAGCCTGTTTTCCTAGTTAGCCTCTGCCTGTGATGGCTGCTTGCAGGCGGCTCATGGTTCCCCATGTGTCCCTCAAGATCCCTCCACCATCAGCACAATCCTCCTAGAAGACAGGCAAGGCTGCTCTCCCCATTGTCTAGGCGTGGAAACCGGGGCCCAGACAGGTGAAGTCATAACCTGAGGTGCCACAGCTGTTGCCTTCCAGAGGTGAGATTCGAACCTATGTCCGTCCAGAAGCCTTGGAAGTGAGGGTGTCCATGCCTAACCTGCTCACACGGAGAGCCACAGCTGGCAAAGTGATGCACCCGTGGCCCCGGGACTGCATTCTCCTCGGCAACCACATCTCTTGCAGTCATTTTGCAGCTCCCTGTAGTTAAGAGGTGGCGTCTAGGCCAGGTATGGTGGCTCACGGCTGTAATCCCAGCATCTGGGAGGCTTCCCAGTAGCTGAAACTGCAGGTGTGCACCACCAAGCCCAAGCAATGCTTGCTTTTGTACAGATGGGGTCTCACTGTTGCCCAGGCTGGTCTTGAACTCCTGGCCTTAAGTGATCTGCTCACCTTGGCTTCCCACATGGTTGAGATTACTAATTACAGGCCAATTAGTATTCTTATTCGGGGTTCATGAGCTTCAAACTGGTGAGAATTTGAAATCTTGGAACAGACACAAAAACTCCAGTTGGTGGCTTTGTGTTTTTAAGACTTTATCATTAAAAAAAAGAAGAAGTTAGAGAGGGGAGGCGGGGGGACAGGAGGGTGAAGGAATCTCTCCAAAATGTCGGATCCGGGCAGCCCTCCTTCCCTGGCTGCCCAGCCACCCCCGTCCCTTCTCTGTCCTGGCGGTGAGGACCCAGCTGCCATCTTCCGGGGACCAAGGCCCAGGAGTCCAGCGCGCGTCCCAGGCAGAGGTGAAGGCAGAAGTGGGGCTCGGGGCCTGGAGGCCTTGTTGGTGTCCTTGAGAGCCCCTCGGATGGGCAATCAGGCCCCCATGTCCCAGCAGGGCCCCGGGGAGGTAGGCGTTGAGTGGAGGAGCCTTTGGAGGTGGGGTCCTGAAGCCGGAGGACCAGGTGGGAACCAGAGCCAGTGTGAGGCTGGTGGCCACAGTGGGTCTGTGGAGAGGGGAGGAGAGGCCAAGTCAGGAGCAAGCAGGGGGCCTGGCCCCACCCCAGCCCGCTGTGCAGCCCTCATCGCACCAATGTGAGGGGGACACAGAGTGGCTGGCGGGGAAGATGCAGGAATGTGGGAGGGTCACAGAGACAAGAGATGCAGAGGTGAGAAAGAGGGAGACAGAGAATCAGAGCAGAGGTGAGGGTGGGAGAGAGACCCAGAGACAGAGAGACAGAGAACAGCAAGGAGAGACAGGCCGAGTGGGACAGAGAGACCTGGAGGGGTCAGAGAGGGCGACGTGGGGAGAAAGAGAAGCAGTCATACAGAAACAGACAAATGGAGAGACGGAGAGAGAGAGAGGAGGGTGGGCGCAGTGGCTCACACCTGTAACCACAGCACCTTGGGAGGCAGAGGCAGGGGGATTGCTTGAGCCCAGGAGTTCAAGACCAGCCTGGGGAACAAAGCAAGACCCCCGTCTCTACAAAAATAAAATAAACGTTAGCCACATATGATGACGCATGCTAGTGGTCTTAGCTACTTGGGAGGCTGAGGCCAGAGGACTGCTTAACCAGTGAGGTGGAGGCTACGGTGAGCCATGATTGCACAATGCACCCCAGCCTGGGTGACAGGGAGAGATCCTCTCTCTAAAAACAGAAAGACAAGGGAGAAGACAGCAGTGGAGAGACAGAGAAGTGGAGAAGAGAGCCCAGGGGGTGGCCAGGCCATGGGTGAGAAGCCCCCTCAATGACTACTGAGCTGTCCCTGACCCTCTTCCCAGACCATCCCCACACACGCTTGAGCATGCCAGTGCTGAGTCACCCACTGCCCTACCTGGCCTGGACACTCCTGCCTGTCTCTTCTTCCTAGGCTCGGCCTCCAGCACCCGCCTCCACACCCACGCCCTGGGCAGGCCTCCGCTCTCATCCCCGGGGCCTTTCTGCTGACCCTGAATTCATTACCCACCTGCCCGGCCACCTGCCTCAACCCAGCCCATGGAGAACTTCCTCCTTGTGTGCAGGGGGCCGGGGCTGTCTCACAGCCATGAGATTTCCAAGCTCTCCTGACCTTGGCACATGCTATTTCCTCTACAGACACTCCTCTCCTACCTCACTCCTCCCAGTCTCCTGGTCTGGCCTCCGAAGTCCTCTCCTCCAGGCAGCCCTCCCTAAATCCTCCAGTCTGGGTCAGATGCCCCCTCTTCCAGGAAGCCCTCTCTGAACACCTCCCCCAATCCCAGGTCCAACACCTGCCGCTGTGAGCTCCTACGCTTCCTGGGCTTCCCCATCCCAGTGCTGCCCATTCTGGATCATCACCATCTGGGGATGGGTCTGTCCCCTTCACTGGACTTTGTGCCCCAGGAGGGCAGGGCTGGGGCTGTCATGGACACTGTTGTGTCCCAAACATCACCCAGCACAGGGCTGGGCACAGAGGGGCTCAGGGGATGGATGAACAGACGGATGCTAAACTAAGGAGTCAGGACTTTGTCCAGATGGAACTAGGGAGCCACAAATGGTTTAATCCATAGAGAGTCAAACTCTGATCTGTGCTTTGGAAACTCCAGGCTGCCTCCCCACCCTGGGCCTTTGCACATGCTGTTCTCTCTGCTTTTGTGAGCAGGGTACACCTGTGCAGTGACCTCTTCTCTCTGAACCTCGGTTTTCTCATCTGTGAAATGAAAATTAGGCAACAGTCTTTTCCTTTCGGAGTTGTGGTAAAGACTAAATGAGAAGATGCTCTAAAGTGCTGCCATCATACCAGGCCACAGGAGACTCATGGCCTGGGAGAGTCAAATGATGCCCCCCTCCTAACACTATCCCCCACTCTGCCCGGTGGACTCCTATTCATCCTTCAGGGCCCCATCCAGAAGCCACTTCCTCTGGGAAGTCTTCCCTGATACCCCATTCCCTCCTATGGGAAAACTATGTTTTACTGTTTGAGCACTTGCACTGGATTGTCACTAAGGTTGCCAACTTCCCCACAAGAACAGAATCTTCTCAAGATCCAGACCCTACCTGAGGCATGTCAGAAGGGAATGAAGGCTCAATTTACGTTTGGAGATATATCATAGATGGATGGGTGTAGGGATGGACGGGTGTAGGGATGGATGGGTGTATGGATGGACAGGTACAGGGATGGATGGGTGTAGGGATGGACAGGTGTATGGATGGACGGGTGTAGGGATGGATGGGTGTAGGGATGGACGGGTGTAGGGATGGACGGGTGTAGGGATGGACGGGTGTAGGGATGGATGGGTGTATGGATGGACGGGTGTATGAATGGATGGGTGTAGGGATGGAAGGTGTAGGGATGGATGAGTGTAGGGACAGACGGGTACAGGGACGGATGGATTGATGGATGGTGGATGGTGGGTGGTGGGTGGGTGGATATATGAATAATGGGATGTGTGAGTGGACGGACGGGTGCGTTGATGGGCAGATGGGAGGATGCCTGGGTAGGGAGGTTTGTGGGTGGTTGGTCAGCGTGGACATAGATGGATGAGTGGATTGGTGAGAGGATAGATGGATGGGGTGAGTGGGTGAACGTGTGGCTGGATGGGTAGTGCATGGGTAGGGGAAAGGACTAGGTTTGGATGGATGGATTGCAGGTGGACGAGTAATGGATGGATAATGACATGGACAGATGAGTGAGTGGGTAGATGAATGAATAGATGGAGGAGAGAAAAGGGGTTGGAGGGAGGGAAACATCTTCCCATCAAGCCTCAGAAAACCCGCAGTGCAGGGACCCAGGCTGGCCGTGCTCTGGGTGTGCCCACTCTTGGAGTCCTGAGGTCTTATGGAGGTTTGAGAATTGCACAGTCCCTAGCCCCCGGACACTCACGCCTCTATAGATAATGCCATTCTCCTTCCAAGTTCAAACTCATCCCCACTGATCCTGGAAGACAAAAAAAGGAGGGTCAGTGGGTCCTTCAGAGACACCCAGCTGCCTCTAAGTCTCCCCCACCTCTTCCTTCACCAGGCGATCCCTCTACCAGGATAGACTGAGTCATCTTTTAAGGTGCTGGCCGTTTAAGAAAAAAATGAAGCCTTCCAAGGTGGTGGGCTTGAAGTCTGGAAGAAGTGAGGTTGTAAGGAAAAGGTGGGAGACCAGGAAATCTGCCTAGGAAATCCCCGCTAGGCAAGTGACACTATTCCGCTTCAATTGAATCTCAGGTGGGGGCGTTTTTGTTTCAGAGGTGGGGGCCAGGGGCGGAGGGGCGGGGCCTGGTGCAGGGGCAGGGCCTAGATAAGGGGCAGGGCTTACCCGGAGGCCGGACGGCCACGTGTGACTGTGTCTCGGTGTAGCCCCCGATGGGCTGGCCCTCTGGGCTGAAGGCTGCACTCTGCCCTGCGAAGGGGGTTGGGAGGTGCAGGCTAAGCCTCAGGAAGCCTGGGGCCCGGCTTGGACGCCCTCCTAAGAACCCCAGGCTCTCTGTCCCCGCCTTCCCCCTGTACCTGTGCGGTTGGATTGATCGATCATCGGTTGCACGATGCGTCTCCGGGCGTTAATGAACCTGAGAGGCGGTCAAGGAAACGGAGGGTGGTGAAAAGAGGGAGTGGGAGAGGGGCCTAGACGAACACAGAGCAGGCTGGGCAGAAAGGACCGCAGCGGGAGAGGCAGGGCGGGGCGAGCAGGGGCAGAGGCTTCGCGGGGCTGGGGGCCTCCGTCAGTACCGCGGACAGCGCTCGGGCTCCCCGCCCCCGGCCGGCCCGCGGGCCCTCCCGGGCCACTCACCAGTTGTTGACTTGCAGGATGGTGAGCCCTGTGTCCTGCGCCAGCTGTTTCTTCTGCTCCTCCGACGGGTACGGGTGCTGCGGCCACCAGCAAGAGTCACTCTGCCTGCCTGGCCGGCCGCGGTCTGAACCCCAGTCTTTCCCACCGGGGTCCCGAGGATGGGGCGCCCAGGCCCAGGCAGACGTCGGGAGAGCTGGCGCGTCTGAGCATCTCTGCGCTCCCCAGGATGGAGGCCAAGCGAGCCCCAGACTTGGGGCAATTACATGCCTGCGAGCCCCCGCCTCTTCCAGCAAGTTAATTGGCCAGCTCTGATTAGAGAGACCGTGTTGGGGGAGGGGGCTTCACTGGCGTCGGGCAGGGGAGCAAAGCCCAGACCCTCCCTTTCTAAATCTGTCAGAGTCTGTGTGGGCCTCTCCCCATCCATTTCTTTCTCTTTTTTTTTTTTGAAACAGGGTCGGTCTCCCTCTGTCACTCAGGCTGGAATGCAGTGGTATCTTCATGGCTCACTACAGCCTCAGCCTTCCTGGGTCAATCAATCCTCCGGCCTCAGCCTCCTGAGTAGCTGGGGTCATAGGTGTGCGCTACCATGCCTGGCTAATTTTTTTTTTTTTAGAGATAGGGTCTTACTATGTTGCCCAGGCTGGTCTCAAACTCCTGGGCTCAAGCGATCCTCCTGCCTTGGCCTCCCAAAGTGCTGGGATTACAGGTGTGAGCCACTGTTTCTGGCCCTCCATTTATCATTTATCTCTTTGTGGCTCTCACATTCTCTGTCTCTCTCTCTCTCTCTCTCTCTCTCTCTCTGGGATTCAGTCCCTCCCTGCCTCCAAGTCTCTGTTTTGTCTCTGTCCCTCTATGACTCAGCCTCTCCCTGTCTCTATCTTGCTCTGACTTGGTCCTCCCCAAATCTCCGTGTCCCTCTGTTCCTGGCTCTGTTTTTCTCCTCTGTCCTTGAGGCAGTGTGGTGAACTGGTTAAGGCCAGACTGCCTGCCTTTGAATCCACTTCTGGCTGTGTGACCTTATGCAAGTCTCCTAACCTCTCTGTTCCTCCATCTCCTATCTGCTAGATGGAGATAACAGCAGCCCCTCCCTCCAAGGGTATATTGGGTGGATGACTGATGGGTGGGTTAATTGATGGATGGATGATTCGTGGGACGGATTTAGTGAGTGAAGTGTCCCGAGCAGCACCTGCACACAGGTGGCACTCACTCCTGCTGGCTCCTGTCACAATTCTCCACGTCTGTGAGAGTCTCTCGAAAAATTTCCTGCTGCCTCAGTGTCCCATTTCTGGGTATCTCTGGGGTCCCAGTCTCTGTGGCCCACCCTCCTCCATCTCCCCACGCCCACCCTGCACCCGGGCAGCAGGGTTCTCACCGAGAGGTGCTGGAACAACCAGGCTCGCATGATGTTGGTGGCCACCTTGGGGAAGATCCCCCTCTTCTTGTTCCGCCGTCGCTCCTGGTCCAAGTCCTCACCTTCCTCACCAGAACTGGGAGAGGCTATGCTGGTGTCCAGCGTGTCTCCTGAGGGAGAGCAGTGAAGAGTGGGGGACGAGAGGGCCCCAGAACTCTCCCCTAAGACACCACTCCACACCCCCGGCATCTCTGCCCCTCTGGAAGTCCTCCCTGTGATCTACCTTCAATCCTCTAGTTGACTTTCCTGTTTGCCCTCCACCTCCTAAGATTCTCACCTTGGTCACTGGAGTTGTCACCACTCTGGGAGGCCAGGCCCCCACTGGATGGACCTGGGGTCCCCAAATGTACAGACCCGCTGTCCTCGTGGTCTCGAATCCATATATTATTCTATAAAACAAGAGTCAGAAGTTAGTGCCAAGGCTTGGGGCATGGGCTCTGGAGCTAGGACTGCTGGATGGGAAGTCAGTCACTGCCTCCTTCCTGGCTGTGTGATCTCAGACAAGTCATGTCCCTTCTCTGAGCCTCCGTTTCCTTTCTTGGAAAATGAAGGACAGGATGGGGCACAGTGGCTCATGCCTGTTATACCAGCACTTTGGGAGGCCAAGGATCACCTGAAGTCAGGAGTTCAAGACCAGCCTGACCAACATGGTGAAACCCTGTCTCCACTAAAAATACAAAAAATTAGCCGGGCATGCTGGCAGCTGCCTGTAATCCCAGCTACTCGGGAGGCTGAAACGGGAGAATTGCTTGAACCTGGGAGGCGGAGGTTGCAGTGAGCCAAGATGGCACCAAGGCACTCCAGCCTAGCCTGGGCACCAAAGTGAAACTCCGTCTCAAAAAAAAAAAGGAAAAGAAACACAAAATGGACAATAATATTCCTAACGGAGTGTAGGCAGTATTCAACAATGAGTTCATTACACAGAAGCTCAAACAAGATGACCTTACACCTTCTATGGCATCTTATCTAAAATCCTTGGGGCCACGCCTATAATCCCAGTACTTTGGGAGGCTGAGGCAGGCGGATCACAAGGTCAAGACATCAAGACCATCCTGGCCAATGTGGTGAAACCCTGTCTCTACTAAAAATACAAAAATTAGCTGGGGGTGGTGGCAGGCACCTGTAATCCCAGCTAGTTGGGAGGCTGAGGCAGCAGAATCGCTTGAAACCGGGCGGCGGAGGTTGCAGTGAGCCGAGATTAGGCCACTGCGCTCCAGCTGGTGACAGAGCAAGACCCTGTCTGTCTCAAAAAAAAAAAAAAAAAAATTCTTGGGGCCAGAAGTGTCTCAGGATTCGGAAAATTTCATATTTTATTTTTATTTTGAGACAGTGTCTCACTCTGTTATCCAGGCCGGAGTGTAGTTACATGATCTAGGCTAACTGCAGCCCCTGCCTCCTTGGTTCAAGCGATTCTCGTGCCTCAGTCTCCCGAGCAGCCAAGTAGCTGGGGTTACAGGCGCCCACCACAACTGGCTAATTTTTGTATTTTTAGTAGAGACGTTTCACCATGATGGTCAGGCTGTTCTTTAACTCCTGGGCTCAAGCAATCTACCTGCCTCTGCCTCCCAAAGTGCTGGGGTGACAGGCGTGAGCCACCGCACCCCTCCCATTTCACATTTTTACACCATGCAGTTCGCAACAGCAAGCATCGCAGGCGCAGGCTGGGTCTGGGGCACAACCTCGTCATCAGACTCATTCACATTTCTACAGCAACACGGAAGAATATTTAACTACGTGGCATGTATAAAGACTGTAACTAGCCCCTCATTAGTTCAGGTCAGCTTTTGCTGCCAAATGAGTTTGCACTAAATTTATGGGATAAAATCCAAAATTTTCAGTTTCAGAGATTTTGAGGTCTCAGATTTGTAGCTAAGGGGGTCTGGGGCTGTATTCTCTTTTTCTTTTTTTTTTTTTTTTCCCTTTTGAGATGGAGTCTTGCCTTGTCACCCAGGCTGGAGTGCAATGGAACGATCTCGGCTCATGGCAACCTCTGCCTTCTGGGTTCAAGTGATTCTCCTGCCTCAGACTCCTGAGTAGCTTCAAATACAAGTGCGTGCCACCACGCCTGGCTAATTTTTTGTATCTTTAGTAGAGATGGGGTTTCACCACGTTGGCCACGCTGGTCTGGAACTCCTGACCTTGTCATCTGCCTACCTTGGCCTCTCAAAGTGCTGGGATTATAGGTGTGAGCCACCACGCCTGCCCTTATCTTTTGAGACAGAGTCTTGCTCTGTTACCTAGACAGGAGCGCAGTGTTGAAATTTTAGCTCTCTGCAGCTTCAAACTCCTGGGCTCAAGCAATCCTCCCACCTTGGCCTCCCAAGTAGCCGGGACTACAGGTACGCCTGGCTGATTTTTCTTATGTTTTCTGGAGATGGCATTTAACGATGTTGGTCCACACTGCTCTTGAACTCCAGGGTTCAAACGATCCTCCTGCCTCGACTTCCCAAAGTGCTGCGATTACAAGTGTGAAGCCACGATGCTCAGCCTCGTATTTTCTTTATCCAAATTCCAGCACACCTTGAGGAACTCGACAACATGTTAGGGTTACCCTGCACCCCTGCTCTGTGCCCCAGGAGGTCAGCTCACCCACACGGGGTTACCCTGCACCCCTGCTCTGTGCCCCAGGAGGTCAGCTCACCCACATGGGGTTACCCTGCACCCCTGCTCTGTGCCCCAGGAGGTCAGCTCACCCACATGGGGTTATCCTGCACCCCTGCTCTGTGCCCCAGGAGGTCAGCTCACCCACATGGGGTTACCCTGCACCCCTGCTCTGTGCCCCAGGAGGTCAGCTCACCCACATGGGGTTACCCTGCACTCCTGCTCTGTGCCCCAGGTCAGCTCACCTACATGGGGTTACCCTGTACCCCTGCTCTGTGCCCCAGGAGGTCAGCTCACCCACATGGGGTTACCCTGCACTCCTGCTCTGTGCCCCAGGTCAGCTCACCCACATGGGGTTACCCTGCACTCCTGCTCTGTGCCCCAGGTCAGCTCATCCACATGGGGTTACCCTGCACTCCTGCTCTGTGCCCCAGGAGGTCAGCTCACCCACACGGGGTTACCCTGCACCCCTGCTCTGTGCCCCAGGAGGTCAGCTCACCCACACGGGGTTACCCTGCACCCCTGCTCTGTGCCCCAGGAGGTCAGCTCACCCACATGGGGTTACCCTGCACTCCTGCTCTGTGCCCCAGGTCAGCTCACCCACATGGGGTTACCCTGCACCCCTGCTCTGTGCCCCAGGAGGTCAGCTCACCCACATGGACTGCAGCAAGAATTCTTCGTTTTTCAGTTTAAGGCTGGGTTTTAATCTAAAACCACCTGGCAGATTGAACCCAACCTTAAACTGAAAAACTGTGTTCTTCTACCAAAAATCTCAGCCACTGTCAATCACTCTGCTCCTCTCTCTGGTTCTGGTGACCATTCCCTCTCCCATCCTCCTTCTTTTTTTGGAGACAGAGTCTCACTCTGTCACCCAGACTGGAGTGCGGTGGCGTGATCTTGGCTCACTGCAACCTCCACCTCCCGGGTTCAAGCGATTCTCCTGCATCAGCCTCCTGAGAAGCTGGGATTACAGACGCAAGCCATCACATCCAGCTAATTTTGTATGTTTTTGTAGAAACGGGGTCTCACTATGTTCCCCAGGCTGGTCTCAAACCCTTGGGCTCAAACGGTCCATCCACCTGGCCTCCCTAAGTGCTGGGATTACAGGCATGAGCCACCGCTCCCAGCCATCACCAGGGGCTACATTTTTCTGTTTGTGACTGTAGTTTGAGGGTTTGGTTGTCTCATCTGTCACACTGCTGTGATTCCTGTGCAAGTAAGTAGAAGCCTCTGCGACTTGGCCGGGCGCGGTGGCTCACGCCCACCACTTTGGGAGGCTGAGGAGGGCAGATCACTTGAGGTCAGGAGTTCAACACCAGCCTGGACAACATGGTGAAACCCTGTCTCTACTAAAAACACAAAACTTAGCCAGTGTGGTAGCGGGTGCCTATAGTCCTAGATAGGAGACTGAGGCAGAAGAATTGCTTGAACATGGGATGCAGAGGTTGCAGTGAGCTGAGATCACACCATTGCACTCCAGTCTAGGTGACAAAGGAGGCTCCATCTCAAAAAAAAAAAAAAGTCCGAGGCTCCAGGACTATGGGTGTGTCTGGCCGCGGGGGGGGGTCATCACGTGCGTGTATCTGAGGCTGTGTGGGGTGTGTGTGTGCATGTGCTGTGAAGATGTCACTGCCAGGTGTGCCGGCAGCAGGACTGCATGGGTGTGGCTCTCGTGTGACTTTGGGATCCACACGGCTGTCCCGTGTGTGTTTGCTGTCTGGTGTCCTAAGTGGATAAAACTAGTCAGGCTCCGTTGGACACGGTGCCACCTCGTTGCGTTGCTGGGTTTGATTCTGTGCGGCTGCATCTGAGCCTGTGAGTCTATTTCCAAGTCTGTGTGGATGAGTGGTGTGTGTGTGTGATCTCGGCTGCAGCCCAACTGTTACGTGGCCAGGATCACGTGTGTGCAAGAGGGCACCATGGCCAGTCTGGGCCCAAGCGTGCTTGCATCTGAGTTCGACGGGCAGTGCCTGGAGCTGTCTGGCTCTGTCTCCATCTGTGTGGCTGTTGTGTGGCTGAAGCGGGTGTGCGTATGTGGTGGACACACACGTGCTTGAGAGTGGGGTGTGGAATGCAGCCGTGTGTTCCATGCTGCTGCCGTACAGCTGGGATGTGTGTGTGAGTTGGTGGTAAATGCTGCATCTGGCTGTGAGTGGAAATGGCTGTTGCTGAGTTGGTGTGGCCATGTGTGGACCTGTGTGGATGTAGCGGAGTCTGTGGGTGGCGCCTGCAGCCGCTGGGGTGTGTGTGTCTGTCCCCATCTGCATGGCTGTGGTGTAGTGGCTGTGGGGCTGTTTGCCAACGTGTGCCCCGTGATCAGGCCAACCATGGCCCCATCTGAAGCTGTGTGGTGCGTGTGTGCCCTCCTGCGGGGTCCAGGCATGGCAGTGGCTGCAGGGTGCTGCCTGGCACCCACCCAGGGCCCACCTGGTCTGGGAGGCTGGGGCAGGAGGCGGGGTAGTCCTCGAAGTCCTCCCTGCAGCTGCTGTCCCGGTCCTCGATGACCAGGTCGATGGGCATCTTTCCCTTGAGGCAGGTGATGTAGCGGTGACAGAAGTTGTCGCACAGGTCGTGGACCTGGGGGGGCACCGGGGTACTGGGGGGGCCACCCAGGGGCGCAGGGCTGGGGTACATAGGGCTGGGGGAGGCATTCTGCTTCAACTCCGGTGGGGAGAGAGCTAGAAGGTCGGGGGTGGAGGTGACGAGAGAGGGTGGGATGGGGGGGTCAAGCAAGGGGATGGGTGTGTGTGGGGGGGTGAGACGCACTCACCTTCTCCAGCTCCAGCAGGTGGAACCGTAGCACTTGGATGGCCTGGATCATCTGAAAACAGGGATGGGAGGTGAGGGGAGACAGAGGGAATCGGGGGAAGGGAGCAGGGAGGAAGGAGGAGGAGGAAGAGAGGAGAGACAGAGAAACAGAAGAGTGAGGACAACAAAGTCAGCAGGAGCAGGGGGAGAGAGAACAGAGACGTGGCCAGAGCAAAGGAAAGAGCGGGCGTTAGAGTGAGAGGGAGAGATGAGGAAAGAGAAACAAGAGGAGAAAAAGGGCCCATCACCAGGGCAAGGACAGAGGTGAGCCCAGTGGTCCCTCGGCACTACCACTTCCGCCTGCTGGCCCCCAGCTCCAGGCCCACCCCCCCACCCGCTGCAAGCCACATTTCCCCGAGCCCTTTGCCAAAGCGTTTGGCCAATAGGAAGCCCTGGCAAGAGCTTGGGGAGCAAAGGACAGGAGAAGCCAGGCTGTTTCCCCTCCTTTCTTCTTTGTCTTCTTCTTTTTATTATTCTTGTTTTTAGATATGGAGTCTCAGTCTTGTCACCCAGGCTGGAGTGCCGTGGCACAATCTCAGCTCAGTGCAACCTCCGCCTCCCAAGTTCAAGCGATTCTCCTGCCTTAGTCTCCCAAGTAGCTGGGATTACAGGTGTACACCACACCCCGCTAATTAAATGTTTTTGCAGAGATGGGGTCTCACTACGTTGCCCAGGTTGCTTTTGATCCCTGGCACACTCAAACTATCTCCTGGCCGTGGCCTCCCGAAGTGCTGTGGTTCCAGGCCCGAGCAGCCGCACCCGCCTCCTCTCCTTGGGCGGCGGTGCCCATCCTTGCTTCGGTGTGGGTGCTGTTTCCCTGACGATGGAACATCGGACACTTTTTGAGCCCTATTCTGTGCCAGGTGCTGTCCCATGCACTTGAACTCGCTTTCACTCATTAAATCTCCACAGTCGGTCGGGCGCGGTGGCTCACGCCTGTAATCCCAGCACTTTGGGAGGCGGGCGGATCACGAGGTCAAGAGATGGAGATCATCCTGGCTAACCTGGTGAAACCCCCTCTCTACTAAAAATACAAAAATTAGTCCGGCGTGGTGGTGGGCACCTGTAATCGCAGCTACTCAGGAGGCTGAGGCAGGAGAATTGCTTGAACCCGGGAGGCGGAGGTTGCAGTGAGCCGAGATCGTGCCATTGCACTCCAGCCTGGGTGACAGTGTGAGGCTCCATCTCAAAAAAAAAAAAAATCCCCATAGCCGCCCTCCAAGACAGAAATTACTACCAGCCACACTTCACAGATGGGACGCTGAGCACTGAGTCCTGTAGCGCCACTTGCCTGGTCACAGAGCTGGGGAGTGGCAGAGCTGGGATTTGAACTCTGGCTGAGGGTCCTGTTCTCAGACTCTCAGGGACCACATGGCACGTGTGCAACAATCAATCATGGCTGTCTGGGGGCACGGACCAGGCGGCTCCTCTCTGTACCCCCTCAACCAACCCCGGGGACGGGGAGTCGGGACAGGAGACTGATGGGAAGGGGCGTAGGGGAGGGCCTGCATCTCTCTCACCAGATTGTCCAGTTCTGGGTTGGAGGAGAAGAGGGGCCTCTCCGAGCGAACCTGGGAGGGAAGAGAGAGGCAGGCAGGGGCAAGTTGCGCCTCCACCCGCCCCTCCTCGCTGGCTCTCCGGGTGGGTGCGTGGTGGGCGGGGGCACCCACCTGCTTGGCGAAGGCAGCAATGTCCTCGTTGAAGGAATCGGAGGAGCAGACGTCGCCGCCGGGGGGCGTCCCCACCCCAGCGCTGGCCCCGTCTCGGGGAGAGCAGGTAGCCAGTTCACATTTCTCAAAGACCAGGGCCAAGAGGGGGAAGAGCGGGTGTCTAGGGAGGCAGGAAAGGAGAGCAGTCAGGGGAGAGGGGGTGGATGGAGGGGCTGGGAGGGGGACAGGAGACCCTGAGGGGAGAGGAGACAGACACTTGTACACAGAGACACAAACAGACCCCAGGAAGTGAGGAAACAGAAAGACAGACAGGAGGACACACAGAGGACACACAGAGGACAGGAGCCTGCGTCCGCGACCCCCCCGCCCACCACCCGCTCACGCTCACCCGTAGATGTCATCCTTCTCCCTCTTCAGGCTGTCACTGTCCAGGCTGAGGGGCAGGGGCTGGGGAGGCCGGGGCGGGCCATAGGGCCCTGGTGCTGCGGGCACTGCCTCCAGGAAGCCAGCCAGGGCTTCTGGGCTATCTGCGATGCCTGGGTAGTGTGGCAGCTCATTGTACTGGGGGAAGGTGAGGAACAGGGAGCCTCAGGGAGAGGTCAGCACCCAGAGACTCGGCCGAGGAGCTTCTCCATCCTGGGACACAGGAGATGCCCCTCTGTGTCCCAGAAACCTGCCTCTGGTCCCCGAGTGTCTGAGCCCCACCCCTTTAAGCCCTCCAGGTCCCCTGGAGCTGTCTGGGTGGGAGTCAGAACCCCGTCCAGGCAGAATGTTGACATTCGGGCAGGAGGACCCAGAGGGAAAGACAGCAGGGTCTGGCTGGGAGGGAAGAGAGACCGAGAGAGGGAGAGAGCGGTGTGGGACGACAGAGGCAAGACAGACAGAGGGAGAGGGAGATGGTCAGCACCAACACCTTCCACAGGGACCGCTCCCACTGCTGTACACAGAGTACACATAGGAAGCCTCCCTGTCCACGGTTTCATTTCGCAGCTGTCAAATAGGCACGTCAGAGTATGTCTCAACACGTCACACCCCACTCACCACGTGAATCCACCACACACAGATACAGCCATACCACCAACCCACGTGCACACTCGTGTGTCAGTCACACCCCAATACACCCCCCACGTGCGCACACACACACACAGCCAACAGCAGGCACAGGAATGAATGTATGACTGAGACATTTAGCACACGAATGAATGAATGAATGAATGATTGAATGAGGCATTCGGCACCGGGCCTGGCTGGTGCTGTGAGCACTTGTTGCTGGAGAAGGTCACTCCGCACGGCCACAGAGACACACTTGCGTACCCAAGAGAAACACCATTAGTGTCCTGTCGTGACAGAACCTTGCGCCCGGGGAAGCCAGAGGCACCTTTCACCCATCAGGTCAAACCCTTTCCTCAGTGATGAAGACACGGAGGCTCAGAGAGGGAGCAGGACTTGCACACAGGAGGAGGCTGGGGCGTTCCTGCCTCCGACCCTCCCCCGGTCAGGCACCCTGGCTCGGTGGGCCCACTCTTTCCCTTTCCCTCTCCTAACTTCTCCTGCACCCTGAAGTTGAATCCAACCGCTCCCGCTCCCCGCGGCTCATGGCACACTCATCAAACACGGTCCTTACAGCCAACCCTGAACCCCCAAAGCAGGCTCGCACCTCCTCCTGTCTCCTGTCTCCATTCACATCCCTGGGGGGAGAGGCTCCCTGGGGCCAGCAGCCTGGTGAGCCCACCTCTTCCACCATGTCCCACTCCTAGCCCTGGAGGAGCAGGGGAGGCTTGGAACAAAAGTAGTCGGAAGAGAAGGATGGAAGAGGGAGGAAAGAGGGGGTGGTTGAGATGGAGAAGGAAGCCTAGGGACAGAGAGGAGAGATAAGGGGGGCAGAGAGGGGGGACAGAGAGGCAGAAAGAGGGGGCAGACCCAGGCAGAGAGAGGGGGACAAAGAGGCAGAGAGAGGGGGAAGACCCAGGCAGAGAGAGGGGGACAGAGAGGAAGAGAGAGGGGGAAGACCCAGGCAGAGAGAGGGGGACAGAGAGGCAGAGAGAGGGGGGAGACCTGGGGCAGAGAGAGGGGGACAGAGAGGCAGAAAGAGGGGGGAGACCCAGGCAGAGAGAGGGGGACAGAGGCAGAGAGAGTGGGACAGAGGCAGAAAGAAGTGGGAGACCCGAGACCCGGGGCAGGGAGAGGGAGACAGAGAGGCAGAAAGATGGGGGAGACTGGGGCAGGGAGGGGGAAGCTAAATCGTGGGGGAGGAGGTGGGGCCGAGGGGGCAGGGAGAGGGGGCACTTGGGGGCAGAGAGGGTCACAGAGGGACTGGGAGAGAGGAGACCCAGGGGCAGAAGGAGGGGCAGAGACAGAGATGGTGGAGAGGACTGATGGACTGATGCAGGCCAGGCCGGAAAGGGGGGATGTAGGGACAGGGGGCGCGGGGTCCCCGCCCTGAGACCTACCCTCCGGGCCATGGGCTGAGGCCGGCGGCAGCTCCCGGGTCCCTCCAGAGCCTGGCCGTGGGGGAGGGCGCAGCCCGGGGCCGTAGCCCCCCACGGCCCGCGGAGCCGACGCCAGGGGGTGGGCAGGAGGCCGGGCGCGCGCCCCCCCACCCCCGCCGCCGTCAGCGGCAGGCGCTGGGCCGGGTGGGGGCTCCGTGCATGGACCCCGGCCCCGGCCCCGGCCCCCAGCGGGGGTCACGGCCAGGGACGCATCGCCGCCGGGACGGGGGCAGCAGGCGTGGGCGGGGCGCCCGAGACCCCCTCCCCGCCCCGCCCCGCCCTTCCCCGGCTCCGGGGGGAATCGAACCGGCCCGAGACGGACGGACCCGGGACCGTGGGGGGCGGGGGGCGGCCCGGGACAGCGCGGGGTCCGGCGGTGGCTGGGGGTGCTGGCGGCCGCGCTCCCTGCCCCGGGTCTCTCCCTCTCTGTGGTCACATCCGGAAGTTCCACGGTGGAGATGCTTAACCCACTGTCCGCCGGCGCGGCCGGGCGGGGCGGGGCGGGGCGGGGGCTGCGGGTTCCCTCCCTCCCCCCTGCTCCCCTGTCCCCTCCCCTCCTCCCCCTCCCCGTCCCCTCCCCCCACCTTCCTCCCCCCTCCCCTTCCCCCCTCCCCTCCTCCCTCCCCCTTCCTTTCTCCTGTTTCCCCCTCCTCCCTCCCGTCCCCCCTCCCCTCCCCTCCCCTCCCCTCCCCTCCCCTCCCCTCCCCACTCCCCGTCCGCGCCCCGCCCTGCCTCGGTCCGGCCTCTCCCTGAGGCTTTTGTATTGGAGTCACCCGCCCGCCCCGGAGAGGCGTCCTCCCGACCCCCACCGCTCCCGCCTGGCTCGCTCCGGGCCGTGCTCCCCCCACCGCGCCCGGCTCTCCCTCTCCCCTGCCGGCCTCGGTCTCCCTCACCCCTTCTCTCTCTCCCCACTCTCCCTGTGTGTGTCTCTTTCTCTCCACCCCTGTCTCTTTTCTCTCTCATTTCCTTTCTCTGTTTTTTTCTGCTTCTCTCTCCTCCCACCTCTTCCCGCCTCTCTCCCCGTTTCTGTCTCTCCCTCAACCCCCCACCTCTCTCCCTGTTTCTCTCCTCTCTCCCCCTCCACCTCCCAGTCTGTCTCTCTTCCCCTCACCTGTTTCTCTCCTCCCCCCTCCACCCCTCCGTTTGTCTGACCCTCTCCCCCACCTCTCTGTCTCCCCTTACTTCTCTCTCCCCTCACCTCTCCCTATTTCTCTCTCCCCGTTTCTCTCCCCCTCACCTGTCTCTGTGCTCTCTGTCTCCCCCTCACCTCTCTATCTGTGTCTCTCTGTCTCTCTCTGTGTCTCTCTCTGTCTCTCTCTCTCTCCCCCTCACCTCTCTATCTGTGTCTCTCTCTCTCTCCCCCTCACCTCTCTGTCTCTCTCTCTGTCTCTCTCCCCCCACCTCTCTGTGTCTCTCTCTGTGTGTCTCCCTGTCTCTCTTTGTCTCTCTCTCTGTCTCTCTCTGTCTCTGTTTCTCTCTGTGTCTCTCTCTGTCTCTCTCCCCCTCACCTCTGTGTCTCTCTCTCTGTGTGTCTGTCTCTCTCTGTCTCTGTCTCTATCTCTCTCCCCCTCACCTCTCTGTGTCTCTCTCCCTATCTCTCTCTGTGTCTCTGTGTGTCTCTCTCCCCCTCACCTTTCTGTGTCTCTCTGTCTCTCTCCCCCTCACCTCTCTATCTGTCTCTCTGTGTCTCCCTGTCTCTCTCTCTCTGTCTCTCGTTCTGTCTCTTTCTGTGTGTCTCTCTCTCTGTGTCTCTCTGTTGCTCTTTCTGTTTCTCTCTGTGTCTCTCTCTCTTTCTCTCCCCCTCACCTTTTTATCTGTGTGTCTCTGTGTGTGTCTCTATGTCTCTCTGTCTCTCTCTCTCTCTGTGTCTCTGTCTCTGTGTCTCTCTCTCCCCCTCACCTCTGTGTCTCTCTCCCTCTCTCTCTCCCCCTTACCTATCTGTGTCTCTCTGTCTCTGTGTCTCTCTCTGTCTCTGTCTCTCTCCCCCTCACCTCTCTGTGTCTCTCTGTGTCTCTCCCTGTCTCTCTCCCCCTCACCTCTCTGTGTCTCTCTGTGTCTCTCCCTGTCTCTCTCCCCCTCACCTCTCTCTGTATCTCTCTGTCTCTCTCCCTCTCTCTCTCTCCCCCTCACCTATCTCTGTCTCTTTGTGTCTCTCTCTGTGTCTCTGTCTCTCTCCCCCTCACCTCTCTCTCTGTGTGTCTCTCTCCGTCTCTCTCCCTTTCCCCAGCCCTCCCCTATGGGGCAGAATCAGAGGAGAGGGCTGGTGCTGGAAGGAAGCCAGTCCTCAGATTTTCGTTTCTCTTCTTGCCCTCAACGCTTTCCCTCCCTCCTCTGGGAGAGAGGGGGACCCCTGTACCTGCAGCTCTGTGTGTGTGCGTATGTCGGTGTGTGTGGTGTGTGCTTGCATGTGTGTGGGCCTTATGTGTGGTGTGTGTTTTGTGTGTGCATGGTGTATTTTGTGTTTTTGTGTGTGGTCTGTGTGTGGCGTGTGATGTGTATGTATGCATAGTGTGTGTGGTGTGGTGTGTGTGGTGTCTGCGTATCTGTGTGTGGTGTGTAGTGTGCATGTGTGCTCTTTGTGGTGTATTTTGTGTGTGCATTGTGCATCTGTGGTGTGTGGTGTGTTTGGTGTGTTTTGTGTGTGTGGTATGTGTGGTGTGTATGTGTGTAGTGTATATGTTTGGTGTGTGGTGTGTATATGTGTGTGGTGTGTGTGGTGTTTTGTGTGTATGGTGTGTGTGTTTTGTGTGTGGTGTGTTTTGTGTGTGTGGTGTGTTTTGCATGTGGTGTTTTGCGTGTGGTGTGTGGTGTGTTTTGCGTGGTGTGTTTTGTGTGTGTGGTGTGTGTGTATGTTTTTGTGTGTGGTGTGTTTTGTGTGGTGTGTATGTTTTTGTGTGTGGTGTGTTTTGTGTGTGTGGTGTGTGTGTATGTTTTTTGTGTGGTGTTTTGTGTTTGTGTGTGGTGTTTTGTGTGTGTGGTGTGTTTTATGTGTGTTTTTTTGTGTGTGGCATGTGTACATTTTGTGTGTGTATGTTTTGTGTGTGTGGTGTGTGTTTGTGTGGTGTGTTTTGTGTGTGTGGTGTGTATGTGTTTGCGTGGTGTGTTTTGTGTGTGTGGTGTGTATGTGTTTGTGTGGTGTGTTTTGTTTTGTGTGTGTATGTTTTGTGTGTGTGGTGTGTATGTTTTTGTGTGGTGTGTATGTGTTTGTGTGGTGTGTATGTGTTCGTGTGTATGTTTTGTGTGTGTGGTGTGTATGTGTTTGTGTGGTGTGTTTTGTGTGTGTGGTGTGTATGTGTTTGTGTGGTGTGTTTTTTGTGTGTGGTGTGTATGTGTTTGCGTGGTGTGTTTTGTGTGTGGTGTGTATGTGTTTGGTGTGTTTGGTGTGTGTGGTGTGTATGTGTTTGTATGTTTTGTGTGTGTATGTTTTGTGTGTGTGGTGTGTATGTGTTTGTGTGTATGTTTTGTGTGTGGTGTGTTTTGTGTGTGTGGTGTGTATGTGTTTGTGTGTATGTTTTTGTGTGGTGTGTTTTGTGTGTGTGGTGTGTTTTATGTGTGTATGTTTTGTGTGTGGCATGTGTACATTTTGTGTGTGGTGTGTTTTGTGTGTGTGGTGTGTATGTGTTTGTGTGTATGTTTTGTGTGTGGTGTGTTTTGTGTGTGTGGTGTGTATGTGTTTGTGTGTATGTTTTTGTGTGGTGTGTTTTGTGTGTGTGGTGTGTTTTGTGTGTGTATGTTTTGTGTGTGGCATGTGTACATTTTGTGTGTGGTGTGTTTTGTGTGTGTGGTGTGTATGTGTTTGTGTGTATGTTTTGTGTGTGTGGTGTGTATGTGTTTGTGTGTATGTTTTGTGTGTGTGGTGTGTATGTGTTTGTGTGTATGTTTTGTGTGTGTGGTGTGTATGTGTTTGTGTGTATGTTTTGTGTGTGTGGTGTGTATGTGTTTGTGTGTATGTTTTGTGTGTGTGGTGTGTATGTGTTTGTATGTTTTGTGTGTGTGGTGTGTATGTGTTTGTGTGTATGTTTTGTGTGTGTGGTGTGTATGTTTTTGTGTGGTGTGTTTTGTGTGTGTGGTGTGTATGTTTTGTGTGTGTGGTGTGTATGTTTTTGTGTGGTGTGTTTTGTGTGTGTGGTGTGTATGTGTTTGTGTGTATGTTTTTTGTGTGTGGTGTGTATGTTTTTGTGTGCTGTGTTTTGTGTGTGTGGTGTGTATGTTTTGTGTGTGTGGTGTGTATGTTTTTGTGTGGTGTGTTTTGTGTGTGTGGTGTGTATGTGTTTGTGTGGTGTGTTTTGTGTGTGTGGTGTGTATGTGTTTGTGTGTATGTTTTGTGTGTGTGGTGTGTATGTGTTTGTGTGTATGTTTTGTGTTTGGTGTGTTTTGTGTGTGTGGTGTGTATGTGTTTGTGTGTATGTTTTGTGTGTGTGGTGTGTATGTGTTTGTGTGTATGTTTTGTGTGTGTGGTGTGTATGTTTTTGTGTGGTGTGTTTTGTGTGTGTGGTGTGTATGTTTTGTGTGTGTGGTGTGTATGTTTTTGTGTGGTGTGTTTTGTGTGTGTGGTGTGTATGTGTTTGTGTGTATGTTTTGTGTGTGTGGTGTGTATGTTTTTGTGTGGTGTGTTTTGTGTGTGTGGTGTGTGTGTTTTGTGTGTGTGGTGTGTATGTTTTTGTGTGGTGTGTTTTGTGTGTGTGGTGTGTATGTGTTTGTGTGTATGTTTTTGTGTGGTGTGTTTTGTGTGTGTGGTGTGTTTTATGTGTGTATGTTTTGTGTGTGGCATGTGTACATTTTGTGTGTGGTGTGTTTTGTGTGTGGTGTGTATGTGTTTGTGTGTATGTTTTGTGTGTGTGGTGTGTATGTGTTTGTGTGTATGTTTTTTGTGTGTGGTGTGTATGTTTTTGTGTGGTGTGTTTTGTGTGTGTGGTGTGTATGTTTTGTGTGTGTGGTGTGTATGTTTTTGTGTGGTGTGTTTTGTGTGTGTGTGTTTTGTGTGTGTGCAGGAGTGACTCTGCATGTCGTAACCGTCTCTGCATGTGGTGGGTGCTGGAGGCCCCTCTGCCGTCTTAGGCCCCTGTCTTGAGCCTGCAGCCCCCTCAGCTGCTCTCAGCGCGTCCCTGGAACCTGCATTCCGTGGGGTAAACCCTGTGCCCCACACAAGGTGCGGAGGGCAGGTGCCGGCTTTCATCCCATTCCTAAGGCGAGCTTTCAACCTGGCGTTGAAATCGTGGGTGCAGAGGCTGGAAAGGGGGGAGCAGACGGTGCTTGGCGTGTCCAGGAAATATCCAAGAGGCTAAGGACGGAGCGGGAGGGCCGGGGGAGACCCTGCATACATTCAGTCTCACGGAGTCGTCTACACTGGGCGTCTTTAGTCCTCCCGCGGGGAGTGTGCGGGTGGGTGTCAGGAGACCCGTGAACCTAGAGGAGGTTCCAAGGGAAACTGTGGACTGGGTTCTTCTGTGTCTTTCCCCAGGGAGGTGCTCATAGTTTTTATCACATTCTCGCAGAGGGATACCTGACACCTACAAAATACTGAAACCTCACCCCAGAGGAACAGCGCCAAAGAAGAATGAGGCAGAGACCCAGAGAG